TTTGTAAGATACCACCAAGCTGTCTTCCAAAGTGGCTGTAGAGTTTTGCATTCCCACCAGCAGTGGATGAGAGTTCCTGTTGCTCCACATCCTTGTCAGCATTTGGTGTTGTCAGTGTTCTGGATTTTGGCCATTCCTACAAATGTATAGTGGGTATCTCACTGATGTTGTTTTTTTTTAATTTTTATTATTGAAGTATAATTGACATACAATGTTAACCTAGTCGTTGTTCTGATTTGCATTTCCCTGAGAATGTATGACAGAAGCACTTTTCTTATGCTTATTTGCCATGTGTATGTCTTCTTTGGTGAAGTGTCTGTTAAGGTGTTTGGCCCATTTTTTAATCAGGTTGTTTGTTTTCTTAGTGTTGAGTCTTAAGAGTTCGTTGTATATTTTAGATAACAGTCCTTTATCAGATACATCTTTTGCAAATATCTTCTCCCATTCTGTGGTTTGTCTTTTCATTCTCTTGCCATTGTCTTTCACAGAGCAGGAAAAATTTAATTTTAGTGAAGCTCAGCTTCTCAATTCTTTCTTTCATGGATCGTACCTTTGGTGTTGCATCTAAAATGTTATTGCCAAACCCAAGATCATCTAGGTTTTTCTCCTGTTATCTTTTAGGATGTTTATAGTCTTGTGTTTCATATTCAGAGCTGTGATCCATTTTAAGTTATTTTTTGTGAATTAGGGATGTAAGGTGTTCGTCTATATTCATATTTTTGTACATGGATGTCCAGTTGTTCCAGCACTGCTTGTTAAAAAGACTGTCTTTTCCTTCATTATGTTTCCTTTGCTCCTTTGTCAAAGACAAGTTGACTCTATGTGGGTCTATTTCTGGACTCTCTATTCTGTTCCCTTAATCTGTCTCTTTCATCAATAACCACACTATCTTGACTACTGTAGCTTTAGAGTAAGTCCTGAAGTCAGGTAACGTTAAGTCTCCAACTTTGTTCGTCTCCTTTAAAATATTGTTGGTTGTTCTGGGTTGGTTCTTTTTTATAATCTGCATTTCCTTTCTCTCTCTCTCTCTCTCTCTTTCTTTCTTTCTTTCTTTGAGAGAGAGAGTGTAAGCAGAGGAGAGGGGAGAGAGAGAGGGAGAGAGAGAGAAAGGATCTTAAGCACGCCACATTCAGTGTGGAGCTGATACACAGCTCGATCCACGACCCTGGGACCATGACCTGGGTTGAAATCAAGAGTCAGACGCTCAACCTACTGAGCCACCCAGGCACCCCATATAATCTCCCATTTTCTGCTAATAATTCCTGTCTATTCACTCATCAAGACAATTATTTTTAGTAATTCTTTGAATGCATTTTCTTTCATTTTTTAAAAAACATTTAAACAGCTGCTTTAAAGTCTTTGATATGTCTAATATCTGTGTCATTCTGGGTCAGTTTCTATTTAGTGTTTTTTTTCCAGTTGACCATGAGTCATATATTCCTGCTTCTTCGCATGTCTAATAATTTTTTGTTTGCATGGTAGACATTGTAATACAGTCTAGTCTTTTGCGCTGAAGAGTGTTTACTTTTGTTATTGCAGGCAATTCAGTTACTGGCTGTTGACCTTGAACTTATGTAGGTTTGGCATTATGCTCTGTCAGGGCAGATATGTGGAAAGCCCAAGGTCCTTCCCAGGCTCCTCCGAAGTGGTGGAACTCACCTTCCAAACTCTGCCTCCCCTTCAGACCATGTAGAGCTCTGTCTCTAGCATTGTTACAGTAGGTCCAGGGTAGGCCTTACCCAAAGGTATGTTCCTCATTCCTGAAGTAAGACCATTGTGTCATCTCAGTTGGTCTTGGGATGTCAGGCAGTGTTTGCACTGTGGCTGGATGCACTGGAGATCACTGTTGAATCTCTTATAACTATTCTATTTAACCCTGCTGCAGCCACTGTCTGGTAAACCTCGTGTGCTGTCCTGAGCTTGCACAGCCCAGCCTTCCACACAAGGATGGATAGGGAAACCAGACGTGGCCTTCCGTCCCTCCCCCAGTTCCCTCCATGCTGCTGGCTCACCCCACAGATTTAGCTGCTCTAGCTGCCCCACTCTGTGATCTCTGCCTCCTCAGCTTCATGTGCACAGAGGTGCACCACCTAGATTTCATGGCTGGGACATTTCCCTGGGCAGATTGCTGCTAGGGTTTTTGAGAGGCCCACCTCATCAGCTGCCCTTCCCCACCTATTGTCCACTGCCTAGACACAGTTGCTTGGTATATTTTGTCCAGTGTGATAGTTGTTTATAGCATGAGGACTGGTCTGGTACCAGTTATTACTCCATCAAAGCCACATCCCTGTCGTTCTTGCTTCATAAATGATATGCCTATTTATCTCTTAAAGAGATAGTCATAGCTCTTCATTGTGAATTGTACCCTTTATCATTGATAAGTATGGTATATAGTCTGTCTTCATGCTTTTGGCTCTGAATTCAACCTTTCCTATTACTGACACTGTACCCCTGTTTCTCTTGTGTGCACTCTCCTGGTATATCTTTGCCAGTCATTCTTTTGGTGTCTCTCTTACACATAGCACAGATTTGGATTTAACTTTGTAATCCAGTTATAAATCTGTTGAGTAATATTTGTATGGAGAAATACAAGGGCAAGTTCTAGGAAATCATGGCACCTAGTGTCAAGGGTGGGGAAGGAAGTAATGTTGTTTTTGTCATTACTTACAGTGGGTTGTCAGATAATCTGTCAAGTATGAGGTTGACTATTTTATCTTAGGCCCCAAATGACAAAAGATGAACAAATCAATGAATTTAACAAAAATTCCATCTCTCTCAGTATCCTCCCATATTTCAGTTAGTTGCATAACCAGTTCTATAGCCATAATCCACATATTGTTTTAGACCTAATCCCACTGGTAAGTAGATTCCCTACTCTCTGCCAGATCATCTGTTAAAGTTCTCTGGTTATCTCTTATGAGACTAGAGTTAATCTTCCAGTCCTTCAAGAAGAGCTTATGGGAACATATTCTTTGAGTCCTTACATGTTCAAAAATGCTTGTCTATTGTTTTTATACTTGAACAGCAGTTTGGCTAGATATAAAATTCTTGGACCGTGCCTGCCCTCACAGCCTTCTCTGTCTTTTGCCACAGATGTGTCCATGGAACATTCTGAGGACAGCCTAAACCTTACCTCACAGTCAACTTGATCTTTTTGCCTGACCACCAAAGGGCTTTTATTTTTCCCCCCTCAGTCTGGTGATTTTCCTAAGGCATATCTTAACATTGACCATCCTGAAGCCTGTCTTTGGATTTGGATTGTAAGACTCAATTTCTAGAAATTAGAATTGATTTTCTAAATCATTGGGTGTTAGAGCACCTGCACCTATCTTCTACATCTGCTGTTTTCTCTCCAGTCTGTTGTAACTCTTTGTTTCTCTTTCATTTTGCTCACTTTGTATCTTTCCTGCTCTTCCTATCTAGTTCCAGTCTCCTTCTGCTGTTCCCATTCCCCTTCATTTCTTTGAGTTCTTTCTTCTACTTCTTTCCTGTGCTCTGTCAGTTCAGCTTTCCTCCCTCTGTGTTTGCTACTTTGGGTTCTTCTTTTATAGAGGTGATTGCTTCATCAAGTTTTGTTTTGTTAAATTATGGCAAAAATGCTTGCTGGCAATATTTGTTTGCTTCCAAGGAATATTACCATTTGTATGTATGTATGTATGTATGTATGTATGTATGTATGTATTTTGAGAGATAGAGAGCAAGTAGGGAGGGGCAGAGAGAGAGAGAGAGACAGAATCCCAAGCAGGCTCCATGCTGTCAGCACAGAGCCCAACACAGGGCTGGAACTCACAAACTGTGAGATCATGACCTGAGCTGAAACCAAGAGTTGGACACTCAACCTACTGAGCCACCCAAGTGCCCCTACCATTTGTTTTTAAATGTTTCTTTCCTCCTTTTCCCTAGTTTTATCTTTGCAGAGATGAGGAATTCTTAACCAAGACTGCTATGGCCCCATTAGGAAGTGAATTAGGAGAAAAGGGTGTGCTGGTGAGACGGCAAACTTCAGGGCAGCAAAAGCTTGTGGTGCACAGGGCTAGACCAATCATGGGATCAGTAGAAGAAAGTGGCCATTGTGCATTGTCACAATGATGGCAGAGTGCCTTTGTCATTTAGTGTGTGGGGACAGAGATGCCAGATTGCCTTGCCATGCATGAGATAGTGCTGTATAACCACAAGTGGTCCTGTGACCACAAAGGCAGCTCTGGATCCCTACCTGTTGCAGGAGGCACGTGTCGAGGAGGGGTCATCACACAGCACTGACTGTGGGAGCGCTCAGCCCCCAGAGAGCGGTTGGCTTCCAGTGGCTCAACACAGATAGAATGCGTCTGTGCAACTGCTTGTTTTGTTTTGCCTGCCCCCTTCTCAGAACCAGGCTAGGGACTAAGGTTTCAGCCATGGCCAGTGTGGCAGGCTCTGCAGGTGCTCCTGTGACCTGCACCTTCCTGTTGTCCCCCACTCCTCCTACCTGCACCCACTGGCTCCCCTTCTTGGTGGCTCTTCAACCCCTCTTGCTGAAGATGGAGTTTGTTTCTTGTACTCCTCTTGCTTTGGGGTCGGTGTGAGGTTTCCCTAGAAGGGAGAAATGCAGACTTTATTCTTCTATCAAGCAGGAAATGCCTCTTGCATTTCATTAGAGTGCAGTGTATTTCTGTGATGAAGGACTCCAGGACCCAGCCCACTGAGGTCTTTCCTGAGGGCCTGATAGAAAGGGAAGCAGAGTAGCTCTGTGGGGCCTCAAGGGCTCTCTGAGGGAAGGGGCTGAATTCTCCTCTCATAACCCAAGGGTTCAGCCAAGGGCAGTGGTCAGGCTGCTCCCCTCAGGAGGTCTGTGCCTAGCTCCTGGGAGGTAGGGGGTAATTTTATAGGAACATGCAATCATCTTGGCAGCCTGCATTTCCCTCCCTGTTCCAGCTGCCAGACCGGGGATGTCCACAGGTGGGAGCCCCTGTGACAAGTCTAAAGCCACTTCATGGTTCTCTCTGCTGCTCTTGATCTTGTAGGTATGCAAAACTCATGAACTCACCAATCCCGGGATTGCTGATGTCAAGATCCGGCCAGACCGCAAGATCCTGGCCACTGCAGGCTGGGACCATCGTGTCCGTGTGTTTCACTGGCGGACAATGAAGCCACTGGCTGTACTGTCCTTCCACAGTGCTACTGTCCACTGTGTGGCCTTCGCTGCCAATGGCTTGCTTGCTGCAGGGTCCGGGGATCAGCGCATCAGCATCTGGTCACTTTACCCGATTAGCAGTGACTCATCCACTCCCTTGTCAGGACATGTGGAGGACACGGAGGTGGGATCCCATGCCTTGGCCTGACCCAGGCATGTAGTAACCGTGCATCAGGACCCTTGAGGACAACCAGTCACAGTTATCTTCCTCCAGTTACGAGAGGTGTCCAGTCCTTGGAGTCCTCATTTTCTTCACAAGGCTTGGGTTTCCTTTTTTTTTTTTTTTTTTTTAATTTTTTTAAATGTCTTTATTTTTGAGAGAGAGAGAGGGAGACACAGAATCCGAAGCAGGCTCCAGGCTCTGAGCTGCCAGCACAGAACCTGACACAGGGCTTGAACCCACGAACCGTGAGATCATAACTTGAGCCTAAGTCAGACACTCAACCAACTGAGCCACCCAGACGCCCCGGCTTATGTTTCCTTTTGTGAAATACAGCCTCTGTCTGACAGTGACTGCAGTTTACAAAGAGTAACCGGGCCAGACACCTGGGCATCTGTGGTCCAGGTGAGAGGCCAACCTGGGGATACTATTTTATAATAAACTTCCAGTTGCAAACCTGCAGGTTCAAAGTACAAATTCTCCAAGGTGACACCCTGCTTCCCCCTTAGAGTTAGCTCTGAGAGCCATCCTCAGACTTTCCAGTGGGCAGGACAGTTGACCCCTGTCCAATGGAGGGTACCGAATGTGGTCCCCAGGTCCTGCTGACTCCATGTGGCTCCTTATACCCAAGGATGGCCAGGAGCTTCTGATGCACAGGGCTGAAGCCAGAACCAGTAGAAAGAAGTGACCGGACCCTTCAAGAGACCACGGCAGAAGCAGGGTGGCCACGGCTGATGGCAAAGGTAACTCTAGGCAGAGAGAGCTCATGGTTCAGGGCCAGGCCAAACGCAGGACCCATGGGAGGATGTGCCACCCCAAAGAGGGGAAGACCAAGGATGGCAAGGGCGGCTTCAGGGTGAAAAGCATAGCAGAATTAAGTATGGCTGACACAGCCATCAATGACACGGTCCCAGCCAGTGCCGTGCACTCAGGGCAACTGGGAATTAGCAACCAAAGTAGGCAGTGCACCCAGTCTCCTTCCATGCATGGCTGGGCCCAGCCGTCAAAGCTGGGCTATTGATTGGGAAGGAAGTTGGCCCTGGAAATTGGGATGGAGGTTGTGGGCAGGTAGGAAAGCTGGGGGCCTCAAACCCCTTTGTTGCACTGGCTGTTTTGCCAGAAAAGCCCCCTTTGGTCCCTGCCTGAAGAGGTCAGTCCTTCTTTACCTAAAAGACCTGGAAGGGCTTCCCCTGGGTCAGGGTCCATGTGGGATACTCAGGACCAGCTCCCCCACCTCACAGCTTGCCTTACAACTAAACTCAGGCCCCAGGAGGCCCCAAAGGGTGAGGTACAAAGTGTGGCCCGTGATGAAGTGGCAGTGCTCCAGAAGACCCTCATGCAGACAGAAATCTGGAGAACACGTGTGGGATCCAGGTGGCAGGAATATGAGACGCATGAGGCCAAACCCATTGAACAGGGCCACTAACAGAGAGTCTGGACTCACTGCAGCCTGAGGAGTTAGAAAGGACCCCAGGGTTTGGTTGCTTGGTTGAAACATGGACCACAAGGCAGGTTTGCTAAGTGCAGTTGAAATGCCAGAACAACCTCCGTGTACTGCAGAGGGGATGACCTGAGGGCTCAGGGGGATTGGGGTGCTCTAGGGCACTTACCACTGAGACCTGCTCACCTTCCACAAGAGGGGCTGGAGCATGTGCCTTTCCCCATGTCTTGGAGGAATACATCCACAAGGGGAGCCCAGCGTCCTTGAAGAGCTCTGTGGTCTCTCTTCTCTGCAGGTCAGCTGGAGCCACTGCCACAGAGCAAGGATCTCTAAATGCAGTGGAGTCCGTGGATCTCAGAGTGGCAAGGCCTAGTGGTGGCGCTTCATGACCCAAGACATGGTAGGTGTGGTTGTGTGGTGGGCAGCGGGACCACTGCAGCCACCAGCAGCCAGACTCACAGAGGTGCAGGTGTGAGCTGGTGGCCTTGGGGCCCTGGAAGTGGAGCTGATGGGAAGCCTACTCAAATCTGGCTTGGTCTGCTTGAGCGGAAGCGTTCTGGATCTAGCAGACAGATGTCTGACCCAGGCCACCAAAACAGAGGCACAGCCCCTCCATCACAGACCCAGGCCTTGTGAGGAAAGATCGCACTGCACTGCTAACCACGTATACTTCGGATCTTCTGCCCAGCCTCCCCAGTGACCTACGGCTACTCCCGAGGGGACGGCACACTGTTGGAGCTCACTGACAGCCCTGCCTGGGGACTGGCTTACCCACATGGGCCCTGTGGGACAGAGGTGCTGGAGAGTGTCCTCCGGCACCTTTGGGAGGGACCACGCTGGCCCCAGAGTGTCCTGTGGCCAGGCTACCAGATGTTGGGGGACCCATCTAGAGGGATTTCCACATCATGAATGTCCGAAGGAGAGGCTCTGTTTAGGCTGCAGGCACTTGAACCTCACCAGACATGAGGGGAACTGCCGAGTGAGCCACATTCAGGGTGCTCCTCACAGGGAGGCTGTCAGGTCAGAGACCATGGAGGTTGGCTGAGCCACAGCCCTGCCATGACTCCCACATACCAAGGACGTTCTAGAACAGCAGCTGTGGGCTGCTCAGTGCTGCTGCTCACCTCCCTTCTCTTTCTCTCTGCAAGAGGCACCCATCTGGTGACATGACCACGGGCAGCGGGACACTGGGTTGTGGGTGCTCATTCTGAAAAATGAACCTTTGCTAATCCTGCCCACGGCCAGGCAGCCGCAGGCTGATGCTAAACAGCAAAGGATTGTTGGATAAGTCTCGGAACGCACCTAGCCTCCTTGCTAAAGCAAAGCTGTGAACGCACAGAGTGGTGTCAACATCCCGCCCTCACCAGCACTTTTGGGAACGGGCTGCGCTGCAGGCAGTTGCCGGGAGGGAGGGGCGTGCCTGTACAGCAGGGGAAGAGAGAGGCGAGCCCCTTCAGTTACTCTGCATGCCCTTCAGGCAGCCCTGCCAGAACCCACTGCCATGGCTGGGAAGCCTGTGTGGGGGTGCTGTCCACCCTGCCTCAGCTCTGGCCCTGAGGCATCAGGCCTGGAGCTGGTACAACCTCAAGAGGCTGTGAACCCAATGGCCAAGGAAATGGTGTCCCCGCCCCTTGTATATGCCTGTGTCATCAGCTCATCAGGAATCTTGGGGACTCTGTCTCTTGGCAGAATCACCATATTTACAAAAACAGCCATGGAGGTGTGTGTTCCAGACAAAGGGACAGGGTAGTGCAAGTCAGCATGAGGTTTATTAAAGCCAGAGATACTTCCACAATGTCTGAGGTGTGCTGTGTGTGTTGACTGCCTGTGTCTTGCCCCTGGAGATGGTAGAGAGGAGGTGTTGGCAGACGCAGACCCGGCGTCCGTACCTGGCCCTCACCTTCCTGTTAAAGGCACCAGCAGAGGTACATAGAGGATCACAGGCAACTGACTGTGCACTGGGCTCTGGGCTGTCCCACTGGGGTCACATGCTGGTGAGCAGTGTCTGGGGACGTCTTGTGGCCAAATCTCCACTTATGGGGGCCAAATTGGGCTGTGACAGCCCTGCAGGCCCTGTGTGTCTCATGGGGTCTTGTGGATAGGCAAGCATGTTCTGAGGCCAGCCAGGCTTTATGGATGTTATAGGGAAAGACTGGTGGCCAGGACTTTTGTCCATTCAGCTGAGCCACCTGGAACCACAGTGGCACCAACTGTATTAGAAACGCTGGTGTCTGAACCAGCGTGGCTCTCCTCTCGGCCCACCATGGGGCCCGAGGTTTTGTACAACAGGATCTGAGGACGTAAGCAAATCACCACAGACCTGACCAGTCTCAGACTCCCCGCAGTGTCATCAAAACCAGGGGCCCCACTCTGACGCCCCGCCTGGAGAAGATGCTTCATGTTTGCAAAGTCCCAGATAGTCCTTGTCATGTCCCTCCTCAGACCTGACTTGGTGTCGGTGGCTGGCTGCGCCACGGGACCCAGGTGTGCAGGAGCACTGCTGTCTTCCAACAGCTGTGCGGCCCCCTTGCTGGAAGCACTTAAGCTGATCTCCCTGACCATCCCAGGGTGGGCTGCAGAGTGGGCACAGCGGCGTCCCTGCAGCTCTCCCGCAATGACAGGCAGGTGCTCGATGAGGAGGAGCCTCTGTGTAGATCCACGGTTGGGCTTTACCAGAAGGGTGTGTGCATTCTCATGGCCAGTCCCTTTGCTGTTAACTTGACCTTAATGTTCTGGGAGTGGCTTCTTTTCCTTTGCATGGATGATCATAGCAGCTTTATTCATAACAGCCCCAAACTAGAAAGACCCCAAATGTATTGACAGATGAAGGGACAGAGAAGCAAACTGTGGTGCATCACTACGTGCAGTCTTGCCAGCCATGAAGAGGAGCCTGGATGGACCCTGAGGAACTGGGCTTGGGTGGAAACTACAGTCTGCCAAGGTCCAGCCCATCCCCAGATCTCCCTCAGGCTGTGCAGGATGTCTGCATGAGGCACCCTGGGGTGACACCTCAGAACTGATCTGGGCATGGCCTCGGGCAGAGGCCCATAGGAGGTCTCTCACACCCTGTGACAGAGTTTTCTCCACTTTCCATTTTACCACAGTACAAAAGGCCTGCTTTTCCTTAAAGATGTTTCCACATGCCTCGTGTTGGCCAATAAAACCTGTCCTTGGAAGTCCAGTTACCAATGGTGTTCCTCAACCTATTAAACAGACAAAAGAATGAGAGCAGGGCTTGGGCTGGGCCTCCTGGCCTTCACCTCAGGCCATGTGGGAAGCCCTACTCCCTTCCGGTCACCTGTCTGCAGGCCAGTAGCAACCACATTTAAATGCTGACAGGCCATGTCTGCGTGTCCACATGGTACCTTGGGGGCCAGGCCATGCCTGTGTTCCTTCATGTAAGTTGCTTTCATCAAGACCCTTCCCAGCCCACCAGCATCTCCGCACACCCAGCCACGTTTGTCTGTGGCATCTGGGTGGCTCTTCGAAATCATCCCTGTGATTTTCTCCCCATTTCCAAAGTGCCTTTCCTAGCTGAGCAACATTTTTCAGGACTTCCACTTAAGCACTGTTTCATTCAGAGGTCACTTTGATTTAGCACAGTCCACAGTGGCCCAACTGGTGCTTCTTCATCACCGACATCGATGTTATCATCCAGAAAGATGAGGAAGGCCATGGCGCGGGTGCCCAGGGGACAGGAAATGCAGCCAGGCAGAGACCTGTGGTTCCCCAAGGGAATGTCACTAGACAAGCATCACTCATCATGTGTCCTCAGTCACCCTCACCCTCAGGAAGACCTTTTCCAGCCCAACCCAGCCACTGAGAGGGGCTCACTAGTGTCTCAAAGAAGTCTTCGTTAATACTCTCTTAGTGGAGAAGCTGCACACAATCGGAGAAAACTCATTTGGGAGAAGCTATAGACATTTCTTGTGTGCAGCTCTGGTCAGTGTGTCCTTTTTTTTTTTTTTTTTTTTAAGTTTTATTTATTTATTTTGAGAGAGACAGAGACGGCGCAAGTGGGAGAGAGGGAGAGAGAGAAAATCCCAAGCAGGCTCTGCAGCACTATCCGCACAGAGCCCAGCGCGGGGCTCGAGCTCATGAAACCGTGAGATCATGACCTGAGCCAAAACCAAGAGTCGGACGCTTAACCAGGCACCCCTCTGCTTAGTGTGTTCTGTTGTCCTGTCCTTGGCACAGCTTCCATGGGTCAGGAGTGCGGGCACAGGATAGCCGGGGCCTCTGGTGGGAACCTCACAGACTGTAGTTAGGTATCAGTGGGACCGGGTCCTCTTCCAGCCCTCCTGGTTATTAGCAGAATCCACAAGTTTGTGCTAGATGCCTGATGCCCAAGGCCTGAGGCTCCTTCACGGCCAGCAGGCATGGCCTTGGGGTATTCTGTGCTGTGACTTTCATGGGCCCAGGGTG